AGGAGACAGTAAAGATGTTACTAGAAGAATGAGAGTGCTTTTCTACCAGGTTCAGCGGGTGACCTTGTGCTGACTCTGGAATGGTTATATTTCAGTTGCACAGTTTAAAGTGTAATTTCCCTGATGCTGGGCCCTGCACATCTTTCTTCTAGCCTGTCAGATGACAGTAGGGCTGTACCTAGCAGGGGTACCAGAAGGGTCTTTCCTGTGTGGACTTTTGTAGATGGTGGGGGACAGTTCAGTCACTGGGACTGTAGCTGTGAAGCAGCCCTTGGAAGGGGCTCTTGGCTTTGACACGTGTTGTCGTACTCCTGCCTGTGCTCCCAGGCCCTGCCTTCTCCTCATGGCTCCGCCATCACTCTGCTTTCTCAAGGCCATCTTTATCTTTGTCCACAACTAAAACAGAATCCAAGAACCATGCCTATACCCAGCTGAGTCCTGTGTACTTTTTGTCCAGCGTCAGTATGAGCTTCCCTGAGAGTCCTTCTGCTGGGTCCTCTTCCTCCTTTCCTCCTGTCACACCATTGCCCATCCTGCAGGGACCCCTCTGTTCTAGCCTGGAGGACTTGTCTTGCCTCTTGCATCCCTTGCTTAGCTTTCAGTGTTTGTGAGGAAAGAGGTTGAGGCAGGAGTATCACTGGGAGTTTAAGCCCAGCCTGCACTACAGAATGAATTCAAGGGCAGCCTGAACTGCATATAAGTAAACCTTGTTTCAAAACAACAACAAAGCAAACAAAAAACAAAAATAAGTGATCTGACTATTTTATTGTAGCTTATTTCTTTTCCTGGGTAAGTTTTCCAAGGGCAGAAATCATTACATCTATTGTTTTGGATTTTCCCAGCAACTCTAGGAAGGTGGCCACCTTTTAATTTTTTTTGTGTGTATTTGGTACAGGGTCTCACTACACAGCTTTGACTTGTATGGATCCTCCTATTTTCAGCCTCCCCAACACTGGCATTACAGGATAGGCCTGGTCTAGGTGGCTGACTTCACACGCCCAGGGGCGGGCTCTCGCAGCATGTGGTGCTGGAGATCAAACCCCAGTCCTTGCACTTGCCTAAGCAGGCACTTAGTCCACTGAGCTATCTTGCCAGCCCAGTGGCAGCCACTTTTGATGTCATTATAAATAAAGTCTTGAGTAATCTGGCCTCTGCAAGGAGAGCTCTAATATTTCTACAGAGTTTTTCTATGGATTGTTTTTTGGGCATTAAAGATAGTGGTCAACACAAGAACAAAATGGAAGGACATCCAAAATATCAAAATTGGGTCTTGCCAGATAGCTCTGTTGTTCAAAACACTGCCTGGGCAAATGTAGTCAGGCTCAGAGGACCGTGGTTCGATTCCCAGCTCCAGGAGCTGTACCAGACCTGCCCTTATGGCAGCCTGAAGTTACCAGAAAAAATAATCCTTCTCAGAATATCAAAATATCACAAAACCATCTCCTCAGTAGAATTTTTCATTAATTTGCTTCTGGAAAATTCCTGTTAAAAATCCCTATATGCAAAAAAAAAAAAAAGCCCTATATGCACAAAAAGGCATAAATGCATATACATGTCTGCATAAACATTTACATACACATATATATGCTTACATGCACATGCATGCACGAGCATACTCACATGCCTTTACACACATGCACATATGTATACAGAATAAACTCACAGAGGATCTCACCACATTAGCTGGTTGCTACTGCTGAGAACACAGGACCAAGCCAGCAACAGACAAGTTTCCTGGGAAACAGGTCAGGTCCTGGCCAGAGCCAGGCCTGGCCCCACGAGGACTGAGCCGAGCGGTTTCTGGTCAGGGTGGTGACACATCAGGTGCCAGGTGCCGGGAATAATCAGAGTGCCAGGGAGAAGTGGGGCAGCGGTGAAGGTGATGGCGGCAGTGAAGCAAGCACAGCTGGGGGAGGTGGGACGCAGCGACCACGTGTGTGCCTGGTCGTTGTGCTAGACAGCCCCATTGCTGGATGTCTGCACAGGCTTCTAGAATCTAAACAAAAGAATGGCCTTGACTTGGCTCATTCGATCGTTAAGACTTTTATACCATGGAGGCCGG